TCATTACAAAAATTGGCCAATTGATAAAATATTACTAATATTAGCCAAATTAGCCAATTAGCTATTTGAAGCAAAAAAATATCAAATTTTTGCTTTGTTTTGAGTGGGTGTTATTAGAATAGATTGGGCACAACTTAAGGAGCTTGAATCTCAATTTTGGGATGATTTGGTGAAGTTTTGAGGTGGTTTGAATTGAAAATTCGACGTAAAAACTGAAAATGAAAAAAAAAATGATATGTGTATCATTTGTGTATCATATTTGTATCAATTGTGTATCACATGTATATCCATGTATACCTGTGTGTGAGATACATGCGTGATACATGTTTGATACATGTGTCGCAGAAGACTTTTTTGAACTCGATTTAATTACGAATTTTGATACAAAACCAGTCCAAATCACCTTCAATCTTCCTCAAATTTTGTATATTGACTTATCTATATATTTTCAATGAATTTCAACTATACCCATTGAAAAAATTCCTTTTTCCTTAGATTTTTGGAATATTGTATATATTTTTGTATTTCATCACCTTATTTGCTACCCCGTCTATGAAATTTCCTTTCCGTCTTGTATCTAATGTTACTAATCACGCTTAAAAATATGGAAGGTGATTTTTGCATGTGATTCTTTGAAAGAAAGAACCTTATTATTTGGTGTTTCAATATTTGTTGGCTAGTTTTGGTAAGTTTATGACTATGGCTAGAGGTTGGTAAGTTGAGATTTATTTGGGATATTTTTGTAAGTTTCCCAAAATATATTATTGTTAATTTAATGTGTTACTATATTGAGTATTCTTGGATTTTGGAGTGTCCGTCAAGGGCGCTAGCGCATACCCGGGGTGATCATCACTATCTGCACCTGTCTTAACGCAGTAGACCAGAGGCAGATCCAGGATTTAAAAGTTGCAGGGGCACCGTCAATAAAAATTTAAGCAAATATTAGAGTTGGAATCAAATGCCGATAATTATGCCCCCAAATCGACTAGTGCCAATTGCTATATATATATATATATATATATATATATATATATATATATATTACACAACTTTAAGAAGTTGAGTAGGACTTCACCTTGATACCATGTTGCAGGAAGGGGTCATTTCTTGAAGCAAACAGCAGCCAGAAAATGCTCTTTTAACCAAAGAAAAATTATGCATAGCTCTCAAACCAAAATCATTTAAAGAAGTTAAATGATTCCCTTCAATTTTATTGTAGGAGCATCTAAAAGTGGGGTCATAGCGCACCTGTCAAGAAGAAAAACTCTTCAGTATGAACAAGTCTCATGTGAACATGATTTTGCTCTTTTCCTAACTGATAAGGGTGATCTGAATCATTGATATGTTGACAAAAACATATTAGTTTACTATTCATGGAAAGACCTACCAGCCTTTGCATGTATGTACTTTTTGTTGTTGATATAGGTAACAGTACTTTATTGCCATGCCAGCACACTCAAACATATACGTAAACATAATCTTGAAACTTATACATACCCAACATTGTCGACAATATGAAGTGATTTATGGACAGTAACATTAAAAACACATGAAGTTCGATGTAGATATGGCACCAGTTGTCCTTTTTGCTATTTATGTGGAAGTTGGGAATATTATCAATCTACCAGGATTGCTTTTCTTGGAAAAAAGATTGAGCTGTCAAACACGCTATTCTGTTTTTATCCACATAGTTGCACATGAATCTTGTAAAAAGCCTATCTATTTGACTAATTTGTAGCATTTAACTGTTAAATTAGGTACGCTTTTAATTTCTTGCAGTAGGGGATTGTTCACACGAGCAAATAACAGATTTATTCACGCCTTGATCTGCTAGCTTTTTAAGTTTTAGCTTTGAGCACGTCTCATTCTTACGACGGAATTATGTTCAATTCAAGTGAGAATGCAAAACCTGTAATCCAAAAAGTGCATAATGTTGTTATTTGCATTTTTTTTGGAAATTCACTGACCCGACTAGTCAGAATTTGCACCATATAGACGGAGTGATGAGCTCCGTACCAAGAGGTTTTCCATTTTCAGAGCAATTTGTACATCTTTGCTTTCAATGCAACAAGGATAGAGTCACACTAAACTCTCAACATAAAGAGTTCCATCTCCACTGCATTCATTCTTGCTCCAAAAATTCTGATTATAAATATTAACCGCATTTTGTTAAGAGCATAAATCAATACTATCTATATGCAATCGCGTATTAATATCATCAGAAATCCACAGGATATACATTAACAAATTGCTCAGACATTCATATATACAAAGGCTAGACCCCATTGTTTCCCCTCTTAGTTTATCTTCTTTTTTCTTCTTCTTTGAAATCCCTTTTCATTCTCCCTTGCTTGTTAGTAACAGGTCCGTTCATCTCTCTGATATGGCTATAAAACTGCAAATCTTTGAGTAACCTACTGGCTTCTCACAATCCTGCAATTTTAAGACTTTTAACAATCACTTAAAGGAGAATAAAAGAGTCGACTGGATAAATGGATAATCAAAAGGGTAAGAAATCTTGCCTCCCGAGTCGCCCGAGCTCAGGCTGTTCAAGCAGCATATCTTGAATTGGCTTTATCGTCATACCCTTGCCGCCAGAACTACAATGGACAATAGAAAAGGACCCTCTTAGTGATGCTGAGATCGAATCTTATGTCTCACATGTATGCAAGAAATACAAAAGCAATTCAAGATTCGTACTTCTCTTCCCATTGACTGGTACATAGTTTGCCTATATACATGCTGTTAAACTTCAATATTCGCTGGCATCTATATGTAAGGCTAGGGGAGACTGTCTTCTCCTAGATTAATTGGTTCAACAGAGATTTACAAGCATAACATCTCATGCCACATGCAGAAGAATTCGAGTATTCAACCAGTATTTGACACTGATGTATCATCCAGCTAAAAGCATAATTCTGAAAGGAATTTTCTATCTGAGAAGGTGGATGATATTCTGGTACAAACTAAGACGGTAAAATGGAGGGACAAAGGAAGTATCTCTTAGCCTATTCTTGGTCTAAAGTTTCCCCTTCTATGTGATTGGAATAGAAATTTACGAAAAAGGAAAGGAAATACATTCTCTATTTTCCCACTCCTCTCCCAAGCTTTCTTTACAATGCAATGGAATTAGGTAAAAAGTAAGAAAGGAAACATCAAGAACATAAATAGTAAATTAAATACCTGTAAATGAAGTCGAGGGACACAAGTCTGTGGTGAATGGTATAGTCACTTCCGACATACGTGGCGACCAGATTACCAGAGTCAGGGTGGGGCCAGCTCCTTGATGTGGGAAACCGCAGTATAAAAGTACCTGGGTCTTGACCTCTAAGTGAAGATTCTGCTTCTTCCTTGGTAATGAACCCTTCAATCCACACGGGTGGTGCAGAACCCCACAATGAAGTAATACACTGCTGTGACAACGTAAAAGCTATTGGATACAGCCAACACCACAACTTTTCGAAATTGTCTTGAGAAACTAGATCTTGACAACCAGAGACTCTCCTCAGGAGGTCAAAATCCTGCAAGTTGGACAAATTCATCAGCATATTCTAGCAGGCCATTTTTGCAAGATAATTTAGGTAAAGCAATTTAAGGAGATATCTATGAGATCTTTATATAAAGTGAAGTCAGAAAAACCTGACAAAAAGGTGAAGAATTATTATGTGTGGTGTAGCTTCATGCAAAAAACTATTTTGAAAGTTTGTGTTTAACTCAAGAATGATGAAACTATTAAAAGCTGGTGGAATTTCGGTATAGTCAGAAAAAACAGAGATACACTCTTACCGACTTCCCAAGTATGCTAACTATACTTTATCCCATGATCACATCTAGTTATACTATCTTCCCACACACACAATTGACATTGCAAGTCAAGAAAAGGAATATAGTTGGTAAAAAAAAATACAGTGTCAACCCTTCCAATGGGTACAAAACCTGTCTCTGGAAGTGTAAAATGGCCTTCCCAAATAGGTGTGTAAGTGGATTTGGAACCTCGGAGAATATGTGGGTATTTTCAAAAAAACCGAGGGAATAACAGCAAAGTTACGCCCTCTTTGAAGTACTTTTTCAGACTATGTACAGGTTTACAGAGAAAAAAGAGAACCTGATGAGTTAGAGATCTGGTACGGCCAAATGTCATCTTCAGGAAATGCTCTTGAAGCCCAGACACCAAATTCTCCCAAAGGACATGGTGGTTGTCATCGGATATGAAATTCCAACATTTGATTCCCTCTTCTATCAGCCTCTTTGAAATTGATATTTGATGCCTAAAAAAGTAATGTTATTCATACAAATTGAACAGCAAAATTCTGCACAAACTGGTAGAGACAACAGTATACAAGGTAACTAAATAGTGATGACAACAATGAAATGAAAATGGAAATGGAAACCCGACATGTATATTTTGTTTATATCCTATGAATTACATGCCAATCTAATCCTGATCCATAAATTCAAAATCAATGTACTAATTTCAATAGTTAAAATTTGCCCTAGATGCATATTGCAAGTGCACACCTTTTACCGCAATCAGGAAACAAGCAATCCTTCCATCTTAAAATTATATCTGATCCTATTAGTGGTGTCACAGAGAATCTGTTGCTTTTCAGAAAGAACTTTTTCTTTATTTCTAATTGTTTAAAATAATTTATTCTAAACCTCATGAATTAATAAGTAAAAAAATTGGCAAAATAGCTATGCGTCTGAGCTAGTCATTTTCTAGGACTTAGCTTTCTCAGGAGCAGAGTCACTTTCAGATCATTTATGACGATTTCTTTTACTTTTGGAGGCCAATAGCACTTAGGAATTACCCTTCCAGATCTCCTTTCTATTTTACTAGTGTTATTCGAACAAGTAATTTCAAATGCGCATGACTTTCTGCGCTATGAGATAAATAGAAAATGCTTTTTTGCTTATTGCCACCCCTTATAAATGGAACTGGTATTTATGCTCTATACAGTGATTTGGTTCTTTCAAAATTTTTAATACATCCATGGTGATATGAGGAAATAACAGCTATAACTCCTAAAGAAAGGAATAAATGCCAAAAGTAGCACTACAAACTAGATGGTGTTAGTAATCGTCACTTCGACATGCAACAATAAAACGAAAATATACCTGTGGTGTGAACATCCAGAGAATAAAGAAACTCTCTCCGCAAAGGTTGCAAGTTCTTCTTCTTTAGCACTCATTGCCATTTCCTTGAGAAGAAGACGCCTCTCATTCGGGTCACCGAGACAGTATTTAAAAACATCCACATCTGAGATTGGATCTCTGTTACTTGGAAAGTCATCAATACCAGAGTTTGTGGTTTCACTGTTCTCTGAATCAGAGGAGAAATTTTGTGCCCCACCATGGCTTACTGGTCTTGCCACCAAAGAATTCGGATATGCATTGTTATCCTATTTCCAATGCATGTTTAGGGAGAGATCATAATAATGACAATAATTAAGAAGTTGTAAACAGGACAAGATCACAGGAAAAATTGGTACAGTGAAGCAATGACAAGGAGAATAATTATGAGTGATGATGATTGGACCAGCAATAAATATTGACGAGAAATTCAGGTAGTAATAAAATTATTCTAGATCACAGTCCCGTGCAATTGGTGACCCTAATAGGAAGCACTTGTTGCCAAAATGAGAAGTTTTAGAAGGCATTACTGAGGAAACGAAGTGGCATTGAAGGAAAAATAGAGAGACCAGCATTTTTAAAAGTGAAAAGCGTAAAAAAAGCAGTAAGGTACATGAGGAAGTGAAAAATGAAAATTGAAGGACACGCTCCTTTGAAGAGAAGTGCATATATATATATATATATATGAATATAAAACTGTAATTACCAAATTGCAATAAGAATAACTAAGTTCAACATACAGTAAACAATAATGCCGATGTTAATCCAATTTCTTAAAATTAAAATTCAAAAAAATGACCTCTTATCATTTGTATCACCTTGTGCGACATTCTTTTAAGTGCACACCTCTCTAAAGTGCATGACTTCACCTGTGAAGCGATAAACCCTCACTTTGCATTGCTTTAAGTGACAAATGGATGTTTTTAACAACATGCTGACAAAAAGAGGCTTAATTTTCAAAAACCAGCAATAGTTTGTACTTTCAACCTTATTCACCACTTAAGCAAGTAAGCTAGTTATACAAGGAGCAGCATCCATAAGCATATATTAGTTATGTCATCCAAGAAATAGTGTCAGAACATGCTAAAAATAATAGGATGGAGCAGATGTTTAAAATACCTCAGAGATCCAGGAATGAGATTTTGATTCACCATTAGCTTGCTGCAGCACAAAATCATCCTTAAAATTTGCACATAGTTTCTCTTGTCCTAATTTGACCCGCTTTGATGAAGGACTTTGTTTTGCTTCACGTACAATACAGGGCAGATCAGAAGATCCATCCTCCAATATAGGAGATTGAGATCCATTTAGTAAATGGATTCCCAAAGATGATTTCCTCAACATTAGAGAGGCCGCCCTAGTATTACGATTCCGAGAAATGCACCGGATTGGTCTGGAGAATACCTCAAGGAAAGGATAATTACCCATTTTTGGAATCTCAAACCTAATGCAGAAGAGCCTGTTATCACACTTGGATGAAAGCTGCAATTGAGACAAAAGGTCAATTTTCTAAATGGTTTTAATAGAAAAAAGTGATCAGATAGCATTAGTATTTTAATTCATCTCCAAGCATAACCTGTCATCAATTTCCATGTAGACGTGAACTACAACAATACACTACGTAACGTTGTAATAAACCTTACAAGTGAGCAGCTACAGAAAAGGGTGTTCAAGTTCACAGATTATAAACTAGGAAGAGTTTTGTGAGACAAAGTATATCCACATTGATGTGCTCATCCCATAGAATAATTATCATTTTAACTGTGCCTAAATCTGCAACAGCTATGATCACGCTAAAATAACTCAACGGGAAGAGGAACAAACACTAACACCTACTAACCAATATTATATTTGCCTCATTAATCACAGATCTTCATTGCAAGTGGAGATTATTTGTTTCCTGAATTAATATACCTTCTTCCAAAGCAAGTATTTTCTTATTCAAGATTGCATATAGCTTCTGGCCACTTTGTTTTGCATGTGTTAAAAGAAGAAATACAACTATCCAGTATGGTACCTGAGATATCTTGAGCTTAAAGGAAGCACGTCCACTAATTACTTTGCTTGGTCTATCAGAAGAAGCATATTCAATTCCATCATAATTTGTAAGAAGAGGTGCCTCATCATCAACTGGCTTCTCAACTGGTGCTCCGTCATCGGCGTACACAAGCGAAGCAACAACCTTTAAAAGCATAGCACATATCCATAAGAACACTTGCAGCTAACTTAGGGACTTCATTAAACTTTTTTGTATGGACGAATAAACAACAAACCTCCACTTCTTCGGTTATGGGGCGACTAAAGTTACCCATCAGTGTTACATCTAAAGAAAAGTTTCTCCGGCAGGAGGCCTGCATTAAACATACAGGTAAAGGAGTAAAAGGAAACTCGTAACCAATAACATAAATACGTAAAGGAGCAAACTCCCTCTTGCTAATTTAATTTCATGAGAGCATCAAATGTACCACCTACAGCTTTTCACCATGTTCATCTCAGAATACTGTAGTTCTCTCTCTCTCTAACTCGGTTGCTTTCTTACCACTACCTCAACCAGCACACTAATTACCTTTAAGGAGTAGTGTGCTGGATTATAGCATGTTTGGCCAATCTTCTCCAATCCTAGAAGCATTTTTTTCAAAAAAAAAAGTGATATTTTTTCAAAGTTGAAGTGTTTGGCCAAGCTTTTGGAAGAAAAAAAGTGCTTTTGAGGAGCAGCAGAAACAGTTTTGGAGAAGCAGAAAAAAGTAGCTTCTCTCCAAAAGCACTTTTGAGAAAAATACACTTTGAAGCAGTTTTAAAAGCTTAGTCAAACACTAATTGTTGCTCAGAAGCCCTAAGCAATAATAAAAAATAAAGCGCCACAACAGATCATCACTGTGAACTATCATAAACTACCTTAAAATATGTTCGCAAATAACATATAAAATCATTGTCACCCGAAGAAGAAGAAGAAGAAGAAGAAGAAGAAAGAGGAGAAAAAGGCATGAAGTTGTTTAAAAAGTGGGTACAAGTTAAAAAAAAAAAATTAAAGTGGGTACAGGTTAAATGGGGGGATCAAATAGGGCGCCAGTGCAATTTTTCCCATAAACTATTTACATTTGCCAGCTTAAAAAGTGTATAAAATTTGTATAGTTTTTGTTTATAACATACAAGCCAAACACAAACTGTTTCTCACCAAAAGTACTTTTGAGAAAAAGCACTTCTCAAAATAATCCGATTTTTGCAGCTTGGCCAAATAGGCAATTAGTCTCACTTTAATAAATTACACATTACTATCCCCATATAAGAAGATACGCCTAATTCCTATCTATTTTGAGATGGATGATCAGATAATGAGCTTTGCCAACAATTGTACATGTCACCAGTCACTATGCAACAGCTCTTGAATGACAAAATTCAACATCTTATCACCAAAGGAGGCATACTTTAGAATTTTTTTGAAGAACCAGCCTTACAAAAAAAGGCTACAGTATGCTTTTATCATCGATAAAGATATCAAAGTTAACCGTTTCTGATCTTAAATCTACGACGGTTGTCAATGACATTCTGGGTGAAGGACTTGGAGGAGTGTGGATTTCATGTAACATAGCAATCTTTCACCACCTAGCTTTGTTTCCAATATTAAAAATCAACTTAAAATAGAAGATATACGACAAAGTTGAGGAGTTATGGCATATGTTTGAGACACTCTAATGTTACAATACTCAATCCCTGGAAAACTATTCAAAACAGAACTAGAAGTCTGAAACGGGAAGCAAGATCAACTTTTTATAATGTTCCTCAATGATTTGCATGCAAATAATTTTATCAAGATTTCCATTTCCCCAGGATATCTTTTCCAAAGAATTTCAAAGTAGTGTATCTTTATTACCTTTCCACCAACAATACTCCAAACACCATCAGTGTCTTCTTCAATTTCATACGCGCTTGAACTATCGATAGATAGTTGTACTGGAGGGTCCTGATAGGTGCACAAATCATTAGCAGAAACTAGTAAATACATGAGTAACACAACAACAACAACAACAAACCCAGTGGAATCCCACAAGTGGGGTCTGGGGAGGGTAGTGTGTACGCAGACCTCACGCCTACCCTGGGAAGGTAGAGAGGTTGTTTTTGATAGACCCTCGGCACATGAGTAGACACAAACTTCGTAAAATTAATGACAATGTTGTTTACCTTAACATAGTGATTTTTGATAGATGATACTACTGGCAAGAGCTCTGCACTGTACACATAACCATCCAGCTGAGAACCCTTTCCACTAATGCAAGGAAACGATATTTCAGAACTGTCTGATACTGAATCATTATTGAGTGAGGACGTCAAAGACTTCTCGCCTACAATCTCCCCATCAAGGTAGAGGCGCAAAAGATTTTTTGTGACCTGAAATGCTCCAAGGATAAGGGTTGCTTAAACACCCATAAAACAAGACAAAGTCACCAAAATTCTGGTAGTCAGAGAAGAGCAGATGACAACCTGATGAGATCTTGGACTGATTGTAGCTTTAGGATGATCCCATTAGTGTATTACCTTTGTTCCATCTCAGGGCACATTTTATCAAAGATCTAGTTTTTGCATTACAAATTCAATTTGTGTACACATCATGTCATACCAACAATCATACTAATCTACTCTTCTTTGTGCTGTCAGAACATACATGGCTGATATCACTAGTTTAGTTTGTTGGAACGAAACCAGTTGAAGCAGATGACTCATGGAGCTATTCGACAATGAGTTCTGTAATCAATCTAGCTTTGCCAAAATTTTGGGGCAGAAAAACTTTCATTTGTAATTGTTTTCATTTCGTTATCAAGAAGTGGAAAGCCACTAGGCCTAAATCATTCTTTTGATTTCCCTATTCTTGTGCTAAAGCTCTTGAAGGTGAGCCTTAGAGCAACGTTAAAGTTGTCTCCGTTTGACCGGTCACGGGTTCGGGCCGTGGAAGCAGCCACTAATGCTTGCAATTAGGGTAGGCTGTCTACATCACACCCCTAGAGGTGCGGCCCTTCCTCGGACCCTGTGTTAATGCGGAATGCTTTGTGCACCGAGCTGCCCCTTTTTTTGTGTTAAAGCTCCCTTGTCCAGAGCAAACTTATTGTCAAAATCAATATGCCTAATATAGTGAGAATGTGCAACAACAAAAATTAACTATAGAAGGTAACAATGCCCATTGTGGAGTAAGAAATTAGTAACACGACCATGTTAAAGTAGATAAATGGGAAAACATCGAATCAACTGCTAAGGATAAAGTAAAAGTTATTTACCTCACATCCAACATGAACCCATTTCTTCGTAGGAAATTCACTTTCTGAAGTTGCATACACATCTTCCCTCCACGAAGTTAGTAAAGGATAAAGTAAAAGTCTCTTCTTCTCATCAAGTAACAGGAAAGGAGCATGGGATGTGACATCTGAATGATTCTGCATAATCCACAACCATCAAAAACCATATGAAAGGAAAAATGGTGCAAAGGAAAAGATATGTTGCAGAACATAGTCAATAGAAAGCCTCTTCCTTTAATTTTACTGGAAACAAATGGAGGGAAATGGCTAGGTTTAAGACTTTGTCGAAAAGTACTTGCAACTCCGAAAAAAATTCTATCTGTTAGTAGGAAGGCATGATTTGCAGATAGCTACACTTGGTCACAAATTCAATTACCAAAAATCAAAAGCTAATAGGCAACACGAAGTAATGATGAAATACTATATAGACTTGAAGACAAAGATAGCACTCGGGTAATCCTGAACACAATATAAACGAGACTTTTGCTAAGTTGGCAAACATATCCTAAAGGCAAATGACCAGAAAATATGAACAATTCACATTAGCCAGAAGACAAAGTTTGCAACTTGCAATTATCTAAACCATGTACAAGCTATAAAGTAAGAATCTTCCAACAAGAATGAAACCTAAATAAGAAACTTTAAAGTAACCTCTACAAATAATTATACGAGATTATCAAGATTTCATCAGATCAAATTGAATAGAAGGGGAAAAGGTAAATGAATACATACATACCAAATAGTAATGAGGTAATCTAGAGAAAATAAAGCTGCAAATACACCAAAAACCACCGAAAAGAATAGCTATAAAAGAGTTTTACCTGCAGAAGAATTGTGGAGGGTAAAGTTGAGGCCTTGTTCAAGTAAAACCAGAAGCATAGAAAAATCCCATTTGTGGCATCATAATCTTTGAATTCCACTTGAAGATCTTCCAAAAAGCCATAATCTTGAATACCCATAATTCCCTTTTCAGCTTTCTTGAAAAAACAAAAAATAATGAAAAGAATACCAACAAGTCCAAAATCCCAACGAAGCAGTTGTTATATTCGCCACTATCTGTTGAAGCAGTTCTAGGGGAAATGGTGTTTTCTTGACGGCTGTTAAATAACGGTTGGTAGTGTCAATCGGCAGTTCAGGTTCTAGTCTTTTACAGTTCCCCCCAAACTGAAGAAGTATTTGGGTAGAATCGTATGTATCGCGGACTAGCGTACATTTAACAGTTAACAAATAAGGGAGTGACAGGTAGGATTTAATTGGTGTATTAAGTGGAAAAGTGCGGTAAGAATTGTCATTTTAAATCGGCGCTTTCAACGCGAAAGTCTTCCTTTTTTCAACACGATTTCCGCCTATTTATAGTTTGCTTTTTCGCTTGGACTTGCAAATTTTTTTTTTAGGTTGATTTGCATCTATATCCGTTTTTTGTGTTACGTTTTAATTTGTGTCCGTTTTGCAAAAAAAAACGTTCCCGCTTTTTCGCATAACTTCAGCATACGGGGCTGAAGTAGCAAAGACAATCACGCAAAACTTCAGCATTCTAGTAGATGGGCCTAAAGTAGCAAGTGTGCTGAACCAAGTGTGCTGAAGTTTTTGTTTGTAATTGTTGAACTTAAGCATAGTAGCTGAAGTTTTGTTCTCTATTTGCGTTGCTGAAGTTTTTATTTTTGTAACTGGCGAACTTCAGCTCTAGAGCTGAAGTTTTTGTTTTTGTAACTGGCGAACTTCAGCTCTAGAGCTGAAGTTTTAGTTTTTGTAACTGGCGAAGTTTTTGTTTTATAACTGGCGAACTTCAGCTCTAGAGCTAAAGTTTTTATTTTTGTAACTGGCGAACTTCAGCTCTAGAGCTGAAGTTTTTGTTTTGTAACTGGCGAACTTCAGCTCTAGAGCTGAAGTTTTTATTTTGTAACTGGCGAAGTTTTTGTTTTGTAACTGGCGAACTTTAGCTCTAGAGCTGAAGTTTTTGTTTTTGTAATTGGCGAACTTCAGCTCTAGAGCTGAAGTTTTTGTTTTGTAAATGGCGAACTAACTCTAGAGCTGAAGTTTTTATTTTTGTAACTGGTTTTTATTTTGTAACTGACGAAGTTTTTGTTTTGTATCTAGCGAGTTTTTGTTTTGTAACTATCGAAAGTTATTTAGTTCATTTGTAAAAACTTCAGCACTATATAAGCAATGTACATTTTATTTCTTATTGCATACAACTATACAAGTAACTTGGTGTTTCCTTGTCATGGGCAAGATGCTCAATTTGTGGTGAATTGCTTTCACTTCAGCCTGAAGTTAAGGGTGAAAAAGGACATGGTGCCAAACAATGACCACTTGCAGATCCATTCGTATTTCTTGACTGGAATACAGTAGTGTAAGAAAATTTTCATCTTATCATTGAACCAGATATGTCTACACAAAATTTTAATAACTGAAGTTTCATAGCAGCTTCAACAGCAGCAGAAGAAAGAAGAAAGAGAAAACGAAGGAGGAGAAGGAGGAGGAGAAAGGGGGCTGAAGTTATTTAAAAAGTGGATACAAGTTAAAAGTTTTAAAAAAAATGAGTATAGGTTAAATGGGGGCGACCAAATAGGGCGGCCCGTACAATTTTTACATTTTTTTAGGGTTACGAAATCATGCTACTATTTACATTTTTGAAAATTTACACGCTTTTGCCTAGTAAGAAAATTGGAAGTTGAACTTTGTTAATTTAACTACTTCTTACGTACATATACATGAATTGTGAACTTCATTTGAGTTGTATGTATATTTGTCGATTTTAAATTTACCTTTCAACCCAGATATTTACATCACGTATTTACAGGCCTCCACGTTTCCATTTAATTGGCGAGCTTAGAATTTCGTTAGTCTGAAGGATAAATTTGTTCAAAAGTATAATGATGAGGCCATGAGGGATATATACAGACGAATACTCAAACGGAGAATATATTCAAACAATTTAAAATAGAGAAGTAAATATGACCCTTTTTCTGCTTATGAAAGGACTCTTTGCTATATACTTGGCTCATTTGAATAGAATATATATGTTGAAAATTTTACTTTTGCGTTGTTTTTTTCACATTCCCAGTGAGACGAAAATGCTAAATCATGAAAAGATATACTAATTGACTTAGTTCATGAGCTTTCTTTTTTTCACTTAGCTTTCTTTCATCACGCAATAGAAGCAGCTCGAAGCTATACCGTTTGTACCCAAACCTTAGTAATCTACTGAGTATATAAAGTTCAAATTAAGGGTGTGTTTGGTACGAAGGAAAATATTTTTCAATTTTTCCATATTTGGTTGGCTTAAATGTTTTGAAAAATATTTTCGTTATGAACTCATTTTCCTCCAATTGGAGGAAAATATTTTCCTTATCAAGAGAAGGGAAAATATTTTCCAAAACTCTTTCTCAACCTTCCCTACCCTCACCAACTCACCCCACCCCCTCTCTCCAAAAAAGGCTTTTTTTTTTCAAATTTCAATTTTTTCGTTACCACCCACTCTACTATCCCTCCACCGCCACCCTCCATCCCCCTCCCCCCCTCCCCCCCCGCAAAAAAATATTATTTTTTATTGCAATTTCAAATTTCTAGTTTTTTTTTTCTGCACCACCTGCCCCCCCAGCCCGCCCCTACCCCCCCCCCCCCCCCCCGGTCCCCCCGGAAAAAAACATTTTTTAATATATTTTTCAGTTTTAATTTTTTTATTTATCGATTTAAAGGTTCAAAATTTTACAAGATCCAAAGTTATGAGTTCGGAGGTTTATGTGTTTGAAAGTTTTCGGGTTTAGAAATTATAAAGTTTACGGGTTAGAAATTCCGCGGTTTCGAAAGTTTATAAAAAATGTGGGTTCGGAAGGTTGTTGGTTTGAAAGTTTATGGCTTCATGTTTATTATATCTAAATTATTCATGAATACTCTTGAGAAGTCATTTTCCTTAATTTGCGTACCAAACACCGAAAAATGAATAAGATTACTACTTGTTTTCCAAAAAAACATTTTCCGTTACACCAAACACACCCTAGGTCGTGGAAAATAATCCTGTTTTAGGTTTTCCATTTTGATTGTTGTTTAAATAGGAAGCACCAGCTTGGTAATGAGAAAACAGAATTCCAGTAAATTGTAGGCCACTGTAAATGAAAACTTACATATATCCTTGACATTTTACATACTCTTAGAATGAGTTTCAAAATAATGAAATATCGTAGCAAAGGGTTCTTAAGGTGTAAACGAGAAATTGTTAAGAGCTTAGCTAAATTAGGCTAAACCTACTTTGTTGAGAAAATGCATGGTGTTTAACCATAGATATCGCGGATACCCTATAAGATAACTTTTGCCCAAATATAACCAAACACCAGAAAACTCTACTTATTCCAAACTGACTATTACAAACATCAAAGAGACAACAAAACCTATGAACATGTAAGACATTTATATAGAATATGCAGAAACAGTGTACATTTTACACTCTTATATTACTCCTATATAATGTGTGAACATATATATTAGCAGAAATGTACTTAATATATCACACAGAAGAAAACCTTCAAGCTTAAAATATTAGAAGCAACAATATTTCCTGCATATGATAAATTCTGCAACTTTATATCTTCACGATGTCATGAAATCAATACCCTTTGGTTCTCCACACAGCACATTTCTATTTTGGCTTCAATTTCAGGGCAGCACTGCACATATAAACAGAGTTGTGAATCTCAAAGAAACATTAATGAAAAAGTTTGCATCAATGAAACAAGAGCATAGCGCACATTAAAGGAAGTAATATACCTGTTGATGCAGTAACGCTTTCCAGTAGGTGGAGGGCCATCATCAAACACGTGTCCAAGATGAGCATCGCAAGCTGCACATAGAACTTCTTGACGAGGCATGAAAATGATAGACAAGTCCATCTTTGACTTCACATTGTTTCCTACGGGTTGGTAATAAGATGGCCACCCAGTCCCACTATCAAATTTCGTAGATGATCTGAAACAAGCAATATCGAATTTCAGGTTAGACATGGTAACGAAAGTATTAGACATCGAATTAATCAAATACAAGGAGAATACATACTCAAATAAAGGAGTGTCACAGCAGACGCAATGATATGTTCCAGGGGTTTTGGTGTTCCAGTACTCCCTGAAAAACAAGAACAAGGAAGAGATCAGTGAAACAGGCAGCAAAAAGAACATTTATAGCAGCACGTTTGCCATCCCAACCTATAGGCACAAGCAGCAATGCAGTTAGATCTATTTCATAACCGAAACAATCACCAATTGGACAGAACTTATAAACTTGTCTACGCATATAATGTTTAGAATTTGGACCACAATTGGACGGAACTTAGAAACTTGTCTGCGCATATAATGTTTAGACATTCCAATTAACCATGTCAGCGTCAATAACCATAGCACATTTAGTGTTGTATTCTGAACTCATGGTTGAAATCAATTAGGGGAAAGATGCTCAAAATTTTGCATAGACTAAAGGATATCATCTAGTTCCTGACTCTTGCTTTAAGTAAGATTCAAGAGACACGTGACTCAGTATGCTGATTCTCTCAGACTTGTTTCCCTATCCCCGCAGTGTGTAGAATAACAGCAAGGGGAAAAAGAGAGAAAATTAAGTATGTGTTATCGGTCCCAGTACTCTATTCAACACAGTAAACTGCATGATCATATCAAAGTTCTACAGGTGGATGGGTCCAAACGCCAGGCTAAGACAAATCAGCAGATAGTTTTGGTTTTGTAAAGGATCCAAGAAGTTTTGCCAAAGGTTGTTTCCAGTTAGTTGAATCTTGAAAGCCAATTTTTTTTGTAGGAAATTGGAATATCTCACGACCAAGTCGCCAACCTTTTTCTTCCAAAAATGTTGTGGCAAAATCACATATACATACCCAAGTCAGCAACCCTTTTCTTCCAAAACCTAATTCCCCAATTAACCAACATCCTCCTCCTCCTCAATTGTAAATTCAATGATTGAGCACTCATCGACACAATGGTAAGCATCAGAGTACTTAACAATCAATATTCAAATACTGATGGTTCCTTGAGAGAGCATTCTAGTATTATTGAAGTCTTTGGGCAAGATAAGAAAGGAACTCGCCCTTTGACACCAACGGATAAGAGCTGATTGCTGGCGATGACTTGGTGAAGGGAATCTATGAGAGAAGGTTCTCGAACCGGGTTACGACCGAATAGAGCGCGGAACCAACGAGTTCAGTCGAACAAGGTAACGAGTCTAAGGGAAGGATCAAGCTTGAAAGGAATGGACGGGCGTAGGCTTAATAGTGAACGCAGACCCCCCTGCTTATAGATATGAGATCAATGACTTAAATAAAAGACCCTAAAAAGCAAATGACAAAAGAAACACTGCGACACAAAAAGAACAGACATACCCAGTGAATGCTCGTTCTGTACCCTTTTGCCGTGTAATGTAAAATTGTTCCTTTGTTAGCTGCTTCCTCCACTCGTCATCGCTTACAGAGCTATAATCTACTTTGCTGGCCCCTGCATAATGATGTGCATTTTATGTGTCATGGTAAGATGATTCTTACTTCTGAAACCCCTGTGCTTTAACTATTTCAAGAACATCACAACAAGATGCATAGACAAATATGCCTCACAAAGCTTATTTTATGCCAAACCATTTTGAGACTACTTCACAAAAGTCAAATATCCTAAGCATTCCATTAATCTTATCCAAGTAACACCGAGTTTTTCTTGTTAAAACGGCATATACCAACCGCTATTACCCAGTAAAACTTCAATTTCCAATTTAACTTGGTAAAAATTCTGCAAAATGACATCAGAATCTAAAAGAAATAATAACAGGCTTAGAATGAAAGAACCAAAGACTGAACCTTTCTAGTTTTTCATATTCTAACTTTTGCTACCATGGCAAATCATTTCTACAAACAAAATCGATTCCATATATAGCTCCCCATACAAATAGGAAAAATGGGATACCCTATCACTATTCATCATAATCAAAAGAAAATTCTAATTTGCCTAAGCTATTAATTCTATCCTACGCTTTAAAATACTAGTAAAATAGAGTCCCTTCACTATCTTCCGCATGAACTAGCCATAATATGATCAAAATGAAACAATGATTTTAACTTTTTACAAATAAATAGAGAGAGAGAGAGAGAGAGACCTTGAGCAGTGTCTGGTTTTTGAGAAGAAGCTGAGGAGCCCATCGCACGAATTGAAACAGAAATTCTACTTCTGGGTCTGTTTAGCGCTCCAAAAGTTACGCAAGACAATGGCTTGCTAGTAATTTGGGATTTTGATGAAAAATTCACAGCTGAGCGCAATGAGCTTGGTATGGTCCGAGAAGCCATGGACATATACCAAATTAAACTGATTCTTGAATAGGAAGAAAAATGCTGGCAATTTCTAGTATTCACAAAGGATATATTCCAATGCTCCTCACGCCCATGGACAGATTATGCTTTCATCATCTTAAGCCGTTTAAGTATATTATTCAGAATATCATATTCTTTCCACCTTAGATTTACCTGGATGTTTTATTTTGCATCTCCCATCCCATCCTTTGATTAATCTGGAATTGACCAGTGTAACGTCTATTAAGGAATGGCTCCTTATGGATTTTTCTTTTTGAAAAATTTAAATCAAGATCTCTAATTAATGATGTATTAATAATTTCCGTCACACAATTCTTTGAATGTAACGATGCAAGAAATAATACTCCTAGTAGACCATAGATATAGGGATATTTCATACTACATAAATTGTGACAAAGAGACCAATTTTTTTTATGTGTAATTTTTAGTTAATTAATGTTATATCTGCAACACGTTAAATTAATCTTTTTTTTTCTTGACCTAAGACCGAGCATTTCTGTCTGCTCATGTTAAATTGTACAATCACCTAATTAAAAAGTTTAAATCATTTATTAAATTGATCTAGTATTTATTATTTTTGCAACATTTCTTGTTGACTAACTAGTAACTTTAGATCTGCCTCTGATCAACTCGTGTCTACAATCAGACTGGTAATGGCTAGGTTTTGATCGTGAACTCGAGTGTAGCTGAATATGCCTGGTATTGACTAGTGGTGCTAGCCAAAATAGAGGTTTATCTCTAGCCACGTTTTCCAATGGGCTTTACTCAAGTATTAGACGGACTGGGCCGAAAGCTTTTGTGTGGAACAGTGAGCCCATGAACAGAGAGCGTAGCATCCACGACTCTTAGAGAGCGTGAGTTTATCAGAATAAAATATTATTTGTCACATGTGGCGTCTCCGTCAATAACAAAAACCTGAACACAAGAATGACTCAAACACTACACACTGAAAAAGAAGAAGAAAAAGATATGAGGGGTCTAACAACATCTTTACAATCAAAGCATTGGCATCCAACAGCCCAAAACAACCTCAAAAAATCAGAAAGCAACAATCTTTACAATTACCCATTTCAATTTAATGTCAACAATAACAACAACCCTTTATCAAGAAAAGTAAAACCCATATCTTGTTTTGCTTCAGAAAACCCAAATCAACCAATCTTGAAAGAATCAAAGCCACCACTAGTAGTAGTTGGATCAGCCAATGCAGACATATATGTAGAAATTGACAGATTACCAAAAGAAGGGGAAACAATCTCAGCCAAAACTGGTCAAACATTGGCAGGTGGAAAAGGTGCAAATCAAGCTGTTTGTGGTGGAAAACTTTCATACCCAACTTTCTTTATTGGTCAAGTTGGTGAAGATGCACATGGGAAGTTGATTACTGAAGCATTAGAGAATGGTGGGGTGTATTTGGATTACCTCACTACTGTTTCTAATGCTCCTACTGGACATGCTGTGGTAATGCTTCAGTCTGATGGGCAGAATTCAATTATTATTGTTGGTGGTGCTAACATGTCTTGTTGGCCTGAAAATTTATCTGATGAGGATTTGGAGATTGTGAGGAATGCAGGGATTGTATTGCTCCAAAGGGAAATCCCAGATTTTGTTAACATTCAAGTTGCAAAGGTTTGACCTTTGGATTTATTTATGATTTCTCTAAAGCAAAATATAATTAGTCTGTGGACTCTTAAACTAGGGATTGATTTAAGTTTCTTCACTATTTCTCTTAAGTTTTCTTAATCTTTATGTTTTTTTATGAAATTGAGGCTATCCTTGATGAATTATTATGTCTGTAAGTAAAGAAAGGTAGATTATAACAATGTGTTTTAGTTGCATCCAAGTTGCAAAGGTGTGACTTTTGGATTTACTTTTGATTTCACTAAGGCTTGATTCGTTTAGGCGAAATTTGATTAGTGTGTGGACTGTCAAATTAATGTTCAATTTATATTTCTTCACTATTCCTCTTACGCTATCCTAATTTTTATGTTATTTTGCTGAAATTGAGGTTCTCCTTTTGAGGAAATGTTATCTCATTTAAGTAAAGAAAGATAGATCATAATAATGCGTTTCCTCACTTACCTTTTTCTTGTCGTAAATTAGAATTCGCCTTGGAGACAAAAAGATCAAATAGGTGGGATATTCTTATAAATGGTTCCTTTGATGAACTAGGGGACACTGTCAGATTATCAATTTTAATTGTGATTATCATGTATTGAGAAGGGAATGATATATCGTTCTAGTAAATGAAAAAAGAGAAGATTTATTCTCGTTCATTTTATGACTCTCTTTTCATTTTGGGACACACTAAAATACTATTCCATTGATGTATTATTTAATACAACCTTCAAGAGTTCAAATTTATCTAGCTATTCAAATCAATCTCTAATATGGTATTTTCTTTATGAAACTAACTCTTCAAACATGATTTTGATATTTCTTCTACTACTAGTAATATAATACACTAGGCAATTACTATCTTGAACTCCATGTCTAGTCAAACATCGTGATAAATTGAAACAGATGAAGTATATATATATTTTGTGTGTGTGTGTGTGTGTCAAGTGTCTTTCATTGATATGCTTCTTTAAACGTCTCGGTATCTTCAGGCTGCCAGGAATGCACATGTTCCAGTTATTCTAGATGCTGGTGGCGTGGATTCTCCAATCCCTCTAGAGCTTCTTTGTTTTGTCGACATTTTGAGCCCAAATGAAACCGAGCTGGCTCGCATAACAAAAATGCCAACAGAAAGTTTCGACCAAATCAGCAAGGCGGTGGAGAAGTGCTATGAAATGGTTTGTTTTAACATGCCTATTTTGTATTTATTGCCTAAAGTTTGCATCCTAAGTCTTAGGACATGTTATTGCAGCGGTTCACTTTGATTTAGACTTTATCAGTAATCCAAAACAACTTGCTAAGTTAAATTTTCCGAGTCTGTGTTGAGGTGTTATGGTTACCCCCTTATTGTTGTTGCAAAATGTAAACGTCCTGTTAGTAATTTTGCTAGGTGAGTCTAAATAGCTGACACATGGCTTTTCTTCTCCTCATAAATATGATGGCCTAGCACTTTCTTGTTTGTGTGCTCCGGTTTGGTGCACTTACACAGCAGGACATTCTGTAAATTTGTGGTTATCTCAGTTTTCATTATGTAGGATGATACTTATATTCTGTTTTGTCTCCCAGGGAGTTAACGAAGTTCTTGTTAAGCTTGGGTCCAATGGATCTGCTCTTTTCACCAAAGGAGAGGAACCCTTGCGGCAGCCCATTATAAAAGCTGCAAAAGTCGTTGATACAACTGGAGCTGGTGACACTTTTACATCTGCTTTTGCAGTGGCCTTGGTTGAGGGGAAATCCAAAAAGGAATGTTTGAGATTTGCGGGTATGTATGCTGCTACTTTCTCCTAGTTTTTGCTTCTTAGCTATCTATTTAACAAAGCCTTCTGCACTTACAGCTGCAGCAGCTTCTCTATGTGTTCAAGTGAAGGGAGCAATCCCAAGCATGCCCGAGAAGAAAGCAGTTTTCAATCTTCTCCAGTCAGTTTGAAGACTTTGAGTTTCCTTTATCGAGATCCTTGTACATAAAAATAAGAGGTAGTCTTCAGATGCTCTTTTTCATGCTTAAAACAACTTTAGTTGGAGATCAACTGATTGGAATGTGTGAGGATTATATTGGTTGGTGCTTTACCCTAATCTAGGAGAAAAAAAAGAAATGATAAGACGGTTGGAAAAGGCAGTCTCCTGGGGAGGAAGTGAACAAGAGAGTTAATCAAAAGATAACTTGAACAAAGTTTCACATTGACAATTATGTGACATGATAATGTTTTCTTCACAATGTAGGCATATAATTGGGTGCCAAAATAAGTTGAAACAGAAAATTAGAACTTAGAAGTAAGATGAACAACAAATTAAATCTGAACTTTTCTTAAACTCTGGCATGAATGAAGTTTGAAGTGCCTCATCTGTCATATGTGCCTGTTGTATTTGGTTCACCCAAATCTGCAGTTCTGGGTATTGAGACAGCATTTATTCTCATTAGTAACACGACTTCTTTTGTTTCTTGAAATGAAGTTTCTCAGGTTAATGAGTTGAAGTTCCGGGCTTTTTATTTTCACGTACAAGTGAGCAATTACTATCTTTGTGTCTCATTCACTTTTCCGTTTTCATTTGTTCTTTCCTGTAGTAAACAATTTACACTTCTCCTTTTTTAAACCGCCATACTGGTGCATCTGAGATGTAATTCAGGACTACTATGGAGCACTGATAACTTTGGGAAGGAGCACTAATCTGCATATTTTGGCTGCTGATGCGTAATCTGATACTGCTTTGAAATGCTTATTCTACCTTTTGTAAAAAACAAAAGAAAAGAAAACTTGTGGTGTAGTATCCTTTTCCATGAGTAACTTTAGGTAGCCGGTTAGCATAGCTGTGTCCTCTGTGCCAAGGAACTAACCAAGCAGAGGGCATAGTGTTTATTACTTGAGTTTTCATTACTGATTGGTGCTGGAAAGAATGTCAGCTTTGACAAAATTTGAGTGACGTTTGACTGCTTTTGAGGGTTTAAATGAGCTTGATCTTGTTCCTGACTGATTTTGCTAATATTCTTGTGCTTTCGTTTAATTTTGAGTTTGATTTAAAGAGGAGGGGCCAAATAATATGCTATTCTACCAATAGATTTTCATACCTAGAAGGCTAGAACAGTGTTATTAAAAGCGCACGCTTCTCGCTTAAAGCGTAGAAGCGAGGCCAGGCGATGGACCTGCGCTTTTCTGCCCTAAAGCGTGACTCAGGTAAATAAGCGCACACTTCACCCTAACAAGCGAGAAGCGAGGTGATGAAAAAAACGCAGAAAAGCTTGCTTAAGCGATGTCCAGCAGCAGCCTAGGGTTTTTTTAACAAAAGAATTGCAAATACACATACGCACACTACTTCTCTGCTGCAAGCGACGACTACACCTTGACGACTTCTCTTCTGCTCTTCGAGTTCGAGTAAGTTTCTCTTCTTCTCCTTCAGTTCTTTCTTCTCTTCTCTTCCTCTTCTGATTTTCTCTGCTGTTCACTGTTCAACTCCTTTTTCTCTTCTTCTTTTCTATTTTTTTCAGTTTTTATTTCTCTGTTCTGCCCTATTTTATGCTTGTGCTCTGTTTTTTTTTAAAAATTTCTGTTCTTCACTGTTCGACTCCTTTTTTGGTTAAGGCTGTTCGACTCCTCTCCTCTGTTCTCTTCTTCTTTTCTATTTTTTCAGAACTTATTTCTCTGTTCAGCCCTGTTTTCTAATTTATGATTGTGCTTTGTTTTTTCTAAATTTCTGCTGTTTTTCTCTGTTCTCTGTTCACTTTTCACTGTTTTACAGTTCTGTTTTTTTGTTTTTTTTGGTTGTTGATTGTAGTAAATTCAATCTTAATATTCAATGGCATCAAGCCAAAAAAAAGATCTAGCTTGGGCGTATGGAGTTGCAATTGGCAGTAGCACAAAAGTGCAACATTTGCTTAATATGTTATTTTTATTGAGTTCTTGGTCATTTATCTATGCCTATTTAATTTTTTTTTTTATTTACGTGTTAAAATGCGCTTCACATGAAAAAAGTGCGCGCTTCGCTTCTCGCTTCGGTGAGGCAAGGCCTCCTCGCTTTTTTCCGCTTCTCGCTCTCCAAAACACTAGGCTAGAAAAAGGAAAATGTGCCTTCACATCAAGCTTAGGAATTGTAGGTAAACACAGGCTCATTGTTGTTGGGTTGCACATCTCGGACTTTCAGTTTAAAGATTCTTCAGGGACATAATATTGAGCTCCCAATCTGTTTCTAACAAGTTAAAATACATTATTACTAGATGATTATGGAATAATGGAAATCAATTCCTTAGAGCAAGACTTGGTTATTCCTTCGAAAATGTTAGCAGTTTATGGGTTTACTTTGGAAATGTACATAGGCGAAGTTTTCTCCAATTTAAGGACGCCTAGAGTGAAATCATGGTCTTGAATTTCAATCTGATTTTGTAATTGAATTGTTTGATATTGTTTTGATTAGGTGTGACTGGTCAATGAGTTTTAACCTATATTATCTCCACCAACTCGATCAACTTTGGTGGACGTCAATATTCTTTTTGGGCCATATCAAAATAAGCTTGGTCACAATATGCCATACCAAGAAGTTATATCAGCCCAAATGTTTTCATACCTAAATTTTGTAAAAATTGCATGGGGCGCCATATTTGGGCGCCCCTTTTTAACCTGTAGCTGCTTTGTTTTTCTGTTTGCACCCCTGCCCGTTTTTTTGTTAAAAGCCTTTTAAAAAGACTATTTTGCCCTTCTTTATTAAAAGACTACTTTCTGTCCAAGTACACGCTAGTCCTCTACTGTTTCTGTCTCTCTCTCCTGTTATTCGCGTTTTTTGATTTGTTCGTCTCTGAAGTCAAACACTTTTCGTCGTTGTTTTTTATTTTTCAACTGTTTGTTCCCCAATAACATTACGATTTAATCACAGGTACATTGCATTAACTTTTTGGGTTTTATTTTGTATTACTTTTTACGATTTAACTTCTGGTTTTTGGTTTTGATAGTCATGTATTTATGATAAAATAGTTTCTTAGGGTTTAGTTTGATAAGTGCATTAGTTTTACTTTTACGATTGTATTTTTAGGTTTTTTGAACGTGTGTTTGTGTTGTTGATGAAAATTCTATAAATTCTTTAGTGATTTTTGGAGACATCGAAATTTTTAAAAATTTTGAGAATTAAATAGATGATACTATTAAAGTGTGAAGTTTATAATACTTCAATGATACCTTAGATAGGAGCTTGAAGTTTTGTTTCATGTTTTGTGTTTTTTTGTTATATTTTTTATGAACTTTAGCATTATTTTTGGATCTGAATTTGTGTTTTGTTTTTTGTAAAAACTACAGCATTTTTTTTGCTGAATGTTTTGTTTTGTAACTTCACCTTAGGAGCTGAAGTTTGTGTTTTTGTAACCGATGAAGTTTTTGTTTGTAACTAGCGACTGAAGTTTTTTGTTTTTAACTGGCCAACTTCAGGCTTCTTAGAGTTGAAGTTTTAACTGATTTTTTTGATAATGTCCTGATGTTATTTTTTGTATCTTTTACTTTTTTTGAACAGATGACACCTAAAGCAGCTAATGCACCTAAAACACTTAAACAATCTATAATACCCCAAGGTCCTTATGTCCATGCTGCTCCACCTACAAAATCAGGGCAAAGATATTTTGAGTTTAGAGATTGGTTTAACTGTAAGGATTACTGGAAGGGGAACTATGATTTGAAGAGTTTAATTGCAAGTTTCTTGACTACTATACAACAGGATAAGCTTAATAATGGTACATTTCGATATATTATGGCTATGGAGAATTTCAAATGCAGCATGAAGTTGGTTCATTGTTTGTGTCTTTCTCGAATATTCACCAACGATCGAGACTGCATTAGTTTCAAGATTTTTGGCCATGATGTTTCCTTCACCCTTGAAGACTTTCACATTATGTGCGGTTTGCGGATTACAACACATAATTGAAAAACCAATTAATCGAGAGAGCAATATTCTGAAGCGCTATTTTGGTAAGTCCAAGGGTGTGACCTTGAAGGATATTCGAGATTTTATGACTCCGAATGAAATTCCAAAGAATGCTGTGAATCACAGTCATGTATGCGAGAGTGATGATGATTCTGTGAAGCTTATGAAAATTCTTGTTGTAGAGTTTATTTTGTTTGGGAAAAAGACTGAATCATCTATGTTGGAGGAGTATGCAACTACTATTGAAGATGATAAGGTTTGTGCTGAATATCCTTGGGGTAATGTGTGTTATGAGAAGCTCATTTACTCACTGAAACATGTATTGGACAAGCAGAACAAATTTCATTCAACTGAGTATAAAGTTGGTGGATTTTCATATTCGTTATGTGCTTGGTTCTATGAGCGCTTCCGAGATACTCGGGAGAGGTATGAGCGCTTCCGAGATACTCGGGAGAGGTATATAAGAGAGGATGAGTACCTTGATACCCCTTAGGTTCCCAGGATGTTACATTATGTGTGTGTGAGAGAGCCTAAATATAACGAACTTTTTGATATATTCAGTAGTCATGATGTAAGTTTTAATTTTTTTTTTTATTTTTGTCTTTGTGTTAATATGTTGACGTATTAGTTTTTCCCCCCTCATAATATACTTTTTTGTATTAAACAGAGATATCGCACCTTTAGGGTATTGGATATAATTTCTATAGAAGAGGAATTGAATTCAATGCCTTTAATTGGATAATTACTATGCAGCCGGAATCGTTCAAAGGTACTTAATGCGGTTCCTTCAACTGGTGGATCACCACGTGGTCTGAGTCGATCAAAAGAAGCGAATCGAACTCCACTTATTGGCGAATCACCACGTAGTCGGAGTCGATCAAAAGAAGCGAATCGAACTCCTATTATTGGCGAATCATCTCGTACCCAGAGTCGTTCTAACCGTTCTACAACGGATTTTGATGAGAATGAATTACTCGACACAATATGTTCTGTAATTTAGAGATGAAGTTTTTTGGTTCTGTTTTTGTGAAACTACAGCTTGTTTTTGAGCTGAAGTTTTGTTCTGTTTGTGATGAACTTCAGTATCATAATAGCTGAAGTTGTGTTCTGTATTTGCTGAACTTCAGCATTCTTTTATATCTGAATTTTTGTTGTGTCTCTCTATACTAGAGGGTAACGACGGAGGTTCAAAGGCATGCAGAAAAAGAAAGAAGCATGATCGTGAAAGAAGTTTTCGATAAGTTTCAACGGGATGAGCGCTCTGCTATTGTGGATGCGATTTTTGAAAAAGTGAAGGTAAGCTAATTTATAGAGAAGTCTTTTTGTTTCTGCTAATGTTACTCAGATTAATCATTGTTAGTAATATTTTTTCTAGGAATATTTTGATGAAAAGTTTGAAAAGTTGTTGAAGATTGTCGGCAAATCAAACGGAATGGATGATGGCAATTTTGATTTGAGGAACTGTCGACAATATGATAGGATGAACGACTCTTTCGAACATGATGCTGTTCATGATGCATCGCATAAAGTCGCAGCTGAAAATGCTACACGTGCAGAAGTGACTTTTGAAGGCCATCAACATGTTCAAGCATAAGTTGAAGAGGAATGTTTCAGTGGTGATAGACTGATCAGAGATGGAAATGATGAATAGTTATCAACTGAGAATGTTGGAAGCAAGCAAGGTGCAGATGATCAAGTTGTTGTTACTGAAGAACATGCTGCTCGTGATACATCGCATAAAGTCGCAGATGAAAATGCTACACGTGAGGAAGCGGCTCTTGAAGGCGATGAACAAGTTCAACAACAAGTTGGAGAGGAACATTCCAGTGTTGATTGACTGAGTAAAGATGGAAATGCTGAAGAGTTATCTACTGAGAAAGGTGCAGATGATCAAGTTGTTGATACTGGAAAACATGCACCGAGTTGTGCTTTGGGCAGTGATATTGCAAAAGGCAATTTGTGTAGCACTATTGGAAAAGGCAATCGGTTTGCAGACACACTAGCTATTTGCAAGAAAATTCTAGGTGTGAGTACACAGGAAATTTTCACTACAGGTATAAATTTTTTCTATGTTATATATATATGTCATTGATCCATCCCCCCTCTTTATGTATATGCAGAGGAAGTTGAGACAACTCAAAAACTCTCTGATGATGCTAAATTGAATGAAGATAGAGTTGAGAAAAACCTTCCAGAGAATACTTCAATGCTCATCGACGTTGTTGCACAATTGAATGAAGCTGGAACTGCTGATATCGATAAAGGGATGCAGCCTGGGGAAACCACAGTGGAAGACAAACGTCAAGGTATTCTTTATATTTTTGAATGATCCAAGTATATTTTTTACAGTTTGAAATTTTACTTACTTTATTTTTTTTAATGTTTTTGAATGATTATTCAGAAAGACTCAATGCAGCTCAAAAGGAATTTGGTGAGCTTATTCAGCTATATCAAAAAGGAGAAATATATCTATTCACACATGTTGGCTTACAGACAGTATGAAGTGTGTTTGTATTATTTTATAAAATTTAGTCAGTATTATTTACCTTTTTTTTTTGCATGAAAATATAGGCGTATCTAAAGGTAAAGGAAGTGGATCTGTTGGAATACAAACACCATCTGTGTCTCAACACTTAGATCAGGTAGTTATTTTCTGCAATTCGATTACAAGGTATTTTTGTCTAATGTGTTTTTGTATCAGTTGTATTTATGTTTATATTTTCCTTGCTTTTGTAGATCTCATCCGATGCATCGTAACTTCTTCCAAATCCTAAGAGAAGGAAGACTTCCAGTTCTCCTATGTATGACACAAGTGATATCCCCAAATTCAATATATGTTCATTTTCGCTGGGTAGTACACGAGGGACTGGTTCAGAAGGTAATTCTGCTACTGTTGTTGTTGGTATAGAGAGAGAAGAAGGTCGTGAACAACAGGGGGTTAGTCAAGTATCTGCCACGATGGCTGTGGATTTTTTTCCTGCTGCTGAACAGTAGCAGTTAGTTGTGACGGAACGGCAGGAAGAGCAAGCAAAAATAAAACCAGATCAAAAAGGGAAAAGGATTCGTATGGAGAGTATTTGGTTGAGATCTCCTTACGTAATTCATAAACAAAGGCGAAAGGGACAAGATTGGAAAGTAGGAAAGACTACATGAAGGTGTCCTTTCCATTATGTTAATCAAGACCGTGGATTGATGCAAAGATTTACAGAGTGGTTGGAGATGGATGCCAGTGAATATGATTTCAATCCATTCAGATTAGCTGGAGTTGATATTCCAAAATCAGTCTTTCCCGAGCTTATGGATCCTAACTCCGATCTTGCGGATGAAGTAAGTTATTAAGTTTATTTTTGGAATTGGTTTTCAACTGTATTTCCCAAAACTTCAGCTTATTTTTTATGGTAAAGTTTTTGTACTGCATTCTCTAGTTTTTTTCTAAACTTTTAAATCAAACATGCTGAAGTTTTTTAGATTATTTTCTAACACTTCAAACTGAATATCCTTAAGTTTTTGTCATACTGTTTGTAGTTTTGTAATGCATTTTTTTCTAAACTTCATACTTATGCATGGTGGAGTTTTTATTTCACATGTTTTCATTTGTTGTTGTTCATTTGCAGCATATGAAAGTGGACATATATTAGTTGCGCAAAAATTATTGCTATCACCTTCCAACTTATTCAAAATCAAGATGTACAGTAACAGATTTAATTATTGATCAGTATATGACTAAGCTGGCTGGTATTCATCCTTCAGAAGAACAGAAGGAGAAAATTAGAAAAAGGAAGGAAAAGAGAATGGAGGATCAAAAAAAGAGCAAATCAAAGAGAAAGAGGACATCCAAACAACAGACTGAAGAAGAAGAAGAAGAAGAAGAAGAAGAAGCGATTATTCAGCCACTTACGGGAGTTTAGTTGGTTTATTGAAAAGTCAATGAATGAAAAGGTGGACAACTACGTAAAAGGCCTTGACCTTTCCTGTGGTATCTCATGGGCATCTGCCAGAAAAGTATTCTTTTCATTTCGACTTAAGCCAAGGACGGGCCAGAGATCTACGCACTACTTTTTTGAAATTCTGGACTTTAAAGATAAAACTATATATGTGTATGATTCCATGGGCAGTGTAACATATGATCGTGCGCTTGAACATGTCAAAAATTATGCCCGGTTGATCCCACACTGTCTCAAATGCTTGGACTTTGGGGCACACAATAAATTTTATGGGAAAAGGCCTGTGGAAAAATTTCAAATTAAGTGGATGGAGAAACCGCTGCAGGGTAACAAGTACGTGTTTCGCATATGTTTTACCATGCATCTTATGTTTATTATTTTTTGCCCTTGTGTTAACTATTCTTCAATTTCTTTTTCATGTTCTTTTTGTAGCGTTGATTGTGGTATATTTGCTCTTAAGTTCATTAATATGCGGTTGAAGAAAGAAGATGTCTTTAATTTCGATCAAAGTCAGGCATTGACATTCAGGAGAGAATTGGCTGCCAATCTTTGGGCTCATGGAAAGTGGAAACAAGATAGCGGCTATGAAACTCCAAAAGAACAACAAGGACATGATTATGGAGATTTTGAAGAGACTTTGTGTGAATTTTTTGATTAGAGGATTGGGTGCACAAAATTTGGATTTTGTGAATATACATTAATTAGTTTTTTAATTGACTTTTGTTCAGACAAATATGTTTGTGTCTTTTATAATGAATTTTAAGTACATTTTTGATGAAAAAACTTCACCATGAAGTAAATATCACGACCCCAGTTTACCATCCATGAACATGTCGTGATGGCACCTAGTTCCTACAACTAGGTAAGCCTAACAATGCGGAAGTTAATATAAATTGCGGAAACATTTAATTAAATTTAACAAAACTAAAAAGGAACGGTATATAAGTGCCACTTGGCATATACAACCCAAAAGTAAAACGCGGAAGTCTACAATTTCATCCCAAAACCCGGAAACTCACGGGAACCACAGGCTAATAGAAATGTAATATGCTGCTCTAACTCCAGAATGTCTAAACAACTGAAAGAAAAGGATAGGGTAACTACTAAAGCTGGAATAGAATAGAGACTCCTGGTCTGCGGACGCGGCAGATATACCTCAAAGTCTCCGCTAGATCTCTCCGCCTCGAGGATAGTACGCTTGAGTGGAGGTACCTGGGCCTGCACATGNCGCCCTCCGTGAACATGTCGTGATGGCACCTAGTCCCTATAACTAGGTAAGCCTAACAATGCGGAAATACTAACCTAACTAGCGGAATAATTAAATTAAAACTGAGCAAATTAAAATAATAACTGCATATAAGGCCGTTCGGCCTATACAACTCAAAGAAAAACGCGGAAGTCTACAATTTCATCCCAAAACCCGGAAACTCACGGGAACCACAGGCTAATAGAAATGTAATATGCTGCTCTAACTCCAGAATGTCTAAACAACTGAAAGAAAAGGATAGGGTAACTACTAAAGCTGGAACAGAATAGAGACTCCTGGTCTGCGGACGCGGCAGATATACCTCAAAGTCTCCGCTAGATCTCTCCGCCTCGAGGATAGTACGCCTGAGTAGAGGTACCTGGATCTGCATATGAAAAACATGCGCAGGAAGGGCATGAGTACACCACAGCGGTACTCAATAAGTGTCAAGCCTAACCTCGGTTGGGTAGTGACGAGGAAGGTCAGGGCCCTACTGAGGTTAAACAATATAATATGAATTAACAGTATGAAAATAGGCAGTAATAATGAGTACAGCAATGGAATAAGACAGGCTAAACAAAGCAATAACAATTACACAAGGAACGGAGTAAACACGAAATATGTACATCTCAATACCAATGGTAACAATGAGGATCTCCCAGGATACCGTCCTGTAGTCCTGTTTTCAACTGTCCAGTGGATCTCCCGGGATACCGTCCCGTAGTCCATCATATGTATATATCCAAAGGATCTCCCGGGATACCGTCCCGTAGTCCAACTATCAATGTGCGGGGGAGGGATCTATCGGGAATCTAACCCGCAGTCCCAAAGTAAATGTGCAGGGGGATCTATCGGGAATCGAACCCGCAGTCCCAAAGTAAATATGCAGGGGGATCTATCGGGAATTTAACTCGTAGTCCCAAAGTAAACAAACAAGGGGGGGGGGGAGCTACCGGAATCCCACATCCGTAGTCCCAATGTAAATACGCAGCCACAACAAGAAGATCTTCAGAACTAGAGTACAAGAAAATACAAGGCAACAAGTAGTTCTAGCCTAACATGCTTCACGCAATACAATCAAGGCAACTTAAGCAAATAGGCAATTTAGGTCAGCTAAGCATGCTTTTCTAAACTAACACAGGCTATAATTGCAAGTAGAATAAAGCAGGTAAGAAAGAAACTCAGTCTAAATATTTAAAGTAAAACCGGGTTTTTCAATAACTAGCTCAAGTACGCGCTCGTCACCTCACGCACAAGGCATTCAATTACCAATATAATATCCTAAGGGGAAAGGTCCCCCACACAAGGTTAGACAAGCCACTTACCTCGAACCGGCTCCAAAATCAACTCGAAATCACACTTTTGCCACGAGTATCCGACTCCAAATGGCCCAAATCTATTCAATTCAACTACACATTGTAAATAACATCGCAAGCAACCTATTCTACTAATTAATTCAACGTTAAGGCTCGAAATTAGGTAAAATGACCAAAATGCCCTTCAGGCCAACGCCTCGGAATCGAATAATTTTCACATTTTCAGAACCCTCGCACTCTCACAAGTCTAACCATATAAGAATCTCCCAAATCGGAGGTCAAACACCCGCTCAAAACTCGAAAATTCGGTCTATGAAGTTTTTATAATTTTTTCATCAAAATTCCGAAATTAAAAAGGAAATTCGTGATTAGTTTAGTGGGTTATGAGCAAAAGGGTGCTTAGAATCGTTAACCAATCAATTCCTCTGAAAAACTCTCGAAATATCTCCCAAATCCGAGTTCTCTAGCTTGAGTTTTGATAAAAATGGCAAAAACCCTCGTTTTTTGAATGTTAAGTACTGTTCAGGCTTTTAATGAATCGCGAACGCGGAGTATGTCTCGCGTCCGCGAAGAAGAAAAATGAAGGCTGCTCCATTTATGCTTCGCGAACGCGGAAGGAGGCCCGCGAACGCGGAAGAGAAAAATAGAATGGCTCAGAATTGCCCTTCGCGAACGCGTGGCACTGTACGCGAACGCGAAGGGTAGCTTTGCAAAGGTACGGGAACGCAAAGGGGCATACGCGAACGCGAGAGGAAAGATTAGGCGCAGTCTTCAGCTCCAGATTGCACTATGCAAATGCGAGGCAATAATGCGAACTCGAAGAGGAAGAGGACCAAAGCTACGCGAACGCGAGGAAGGTATCGCGAACGCGAAGAAGGATTTGGGACCTGCACAGCTGAAGGATTTTCTGCAACATTTCCAAACTCCAAAATGCTCCGTTGAGCATCCGAAACACACCCGAGGCCCCCGGGACCTCAACCAAACCTACAGACATATCCCATATCATCATTCAAACTTGTACTAATCCTTAAACCACCTAAAATAACGCCGGAAACTCGAATTAATCAATGATTTGAGCCTAAGAACTTCAAATTCCATCAAAATACATTTTCGATCAAGAACCTAACCAAAATACGTCCAAATGACCTGAAATTTTGCACACACATCCCAAATGACATGACGGAGCTACTTCAACTTTCGGAATTCCAATCCGACCCTCGGATCAAAAATTCACTATCGGACCGGAAACTTCAAAAAATCCAACCTTCGGCATTTCAAGCCTAAATGAGCTACGGACTTCCAAAATACATTCCGAACACGCTCCCAACCCCGAAATCACCTAACGGAGCTAACGGGACCATCGTATTTCCATTCCAAGGTCGCCTTCACACGGACCACTTTTCCACACTTAAGCTCTCATTTAGGGACTAAGTGTCCCAAAACTCTCTGAAACTCAACACCGAACGTCCCGGCAAACCAAAATAGCAGAAATGAACTTAGGGGAAGCAGTTAATAGGGGATCGGAGCGTTAATTCTTAAGACGACCGGCCGGGTCGTCACATCCTCCTACACTTAAACATTCGTTCGTCCTCGAACGAGCATAGAGAACACACTAAATGATACACAGTGTGATATACATATCATTTTTTTTCATGTTCAGCTTTTACTTCGAATTTTCAATTCAAACCACCTCAAAACTTCACCAAATCATCCCAAAACTGAGATTCAAGCTCCTTAAGTTGTGCCCAATCTATTCTAATAACACTCACTCAAAACAAAGCACAAATTTGATATTTTTGCTACAAATAGCTAATTGGCTAATTAGGCTAATATTAGTAATATTTTAATCAATTTGGCCAATTTTTTGTAATGAGCTACTTATAAATGGACATAGCTGGTAGTTTCCCTAATTATTATTTACGGAAAAGGGTCCATATATATNTGTCTGAAATAATAGAAACTGAAATACCATGCAGACGGACAATCTCCCAGATATAAATCTCCGCCAACCGCTCCGATGAATTAGTGGTACACACAGGAATGAAATGAGCGGACTTGGTCAGCCGATCCACAATGAACAAATGGCATCAAACTTCTTCAAGGTCCGTGGGAGTCCCGATACAAAGTCCATGTTTATGCGCTCCCACTTCTACTCCGGAATCTCTATCTGCTGAAGCAACCCACCCGGGCGCTGGTGCTCATACTTCACCTGCTGGCAGTTGAGGCCTCTAGACACATAACCAACTATATCTTTCTTCATCCGCCTCCACCAGTAGTGCTGCCTCAAGTCCTGATACATCTTCGCGGCAGCCAGATGGATGGAATACTGCGAACTATGGGCCTCTGCTAGAATCAACTCTCGAAGATCATCAACATTGGGCACACAAATCCGGCCCTGCATCCTCAATTCTCCGTCATCCCCAATGGTCACATCTCTGGCATCTCCATGCTGAACCTTGTCCTGAAGGACAAGCAAATGAGGGTCATCATACTGCCGCTCCCTGATACGATCTAATAAGGAGGACCGGGAAACCACACAAGCTAGAACCTGACTGGGCTCCGAAAGATCCAATCTCACAAACTGGCTGTCGAAGGCCTGAACATCCACCGCCATAGGCCTCTCTGAAGATGGTAGATATGCCAAACTCCCCAAACTCTCCGCCCGGCGACTCAAGGCATCCGCCACCACATTGGCCTTGCCCGGGTGATATAGGATAGTGGTGTCATAATCCTTCAGCAACTCTAACCACCTCCTCAAACGCATATTAAGATCCTTTTGCTTGAGTAAGTTCTGCAAACTCCGATGGTCAGTATAGATTTCACAAGGCACCCCATACAAATAATGACGCCAGATCTTCAAGGCATGAACAATGGCAGCTAACTCAAGGTCGTGGACAGGGTAATACTCTTCATGTACCTTCAACTGTCTGGACGCGTAGGCAATCACCCTACCGTCTTGCATCAACAGCGCTCCAAGGCCAACTCTCGAGGCGTCACAATAGACAGTATAAGAACCCAAACCGGTAGGCAATATCAAGATTGGGGCTGTAGTCAAAGCTGCCTTGAGCTTCTGAAAGCTCGCCTCACACTCCTCTGTCCACTGAAATGAGGCACCCTTCCGGATCAATCTATTCATAGGGGCCGCAATCGATGAAAATCCC